AAACTATCAACTAGACTACTAATACTTAGAAATTAAAAAATTGAAGAACACGATTTAATATTTGTAAGACGTTGTATATTTTTATATACTTGGATTAATGTTCTTAAACATAATTTTGCTTTTAATTATTATTAATTGTAAAGTTACGTTGTAACCGGACATAGAAGCAGGAATTTGATACCTATGCCTTTATAGGATTTTACTTTATAAAGTTTTTTGGGTAATAAATTGAAATTGGCATTCAAAGAAAATGTTTTAAAAAGACTTGTCAGTTTGAAATATACGGGTACCTCATCGATTGTAATACATACATAAAAATGTTGCACTAAGAATCATATAAATAAGATTTATCTATAAGTAGTTATAGATATTTTTTTACAACTTTTACTGACTCAAAACGTACTAGGTAAATGACGCATCTTGTGAATATGCACATTTATAAAAAAGGTAAAAAAAGTACCTCGCGATTTTATTTAAAAAAATGCGTAGTATTAAAAATAGGTGTTAAAATATAACGTTTAATGTTTCTTGTCATATTTTATTGTAATTTTAGGACCTTTACCAGATGTAGTAAATTCACCTTAAAATTAAAGCAAAATAAAAATTATCATTCTTTTAGTTAAAGCATCCAATTACAATTGATTAATTAAGTACATTAGTTATTTTTTTAGAAAATTGGAAAACTTTGGTGGTGTCGTAGAGCACTAAAACTTCAGGCGTTCAGTCTCTATTTTGACGACGGAGTTCGAGCTTTTTGGTGTTCCACTATTGTTATTTTAAACTATTTAGGTCAATTTTAAACAATTAAAAAAAATTGTTACATAATAAATTTTCTTCAGTGGTGCAAACTTACCAGTAATTTCAAAACTAATCAGTACAGAAATTATAACAACAAACGAACTGTCGCACATTATAACAAAAAAAGCACATGCTTTTTGTTAGTGATGCCTGCGTATAATAATTAAAACCAGCGTCATACGTTGTGAATGACAATTGAAGTCCAGGTGAGACAGCAAGCAAATAATCAAGTTACTGTGTTGTTTCGCTTGCGTCGGCGACGGACGAAAAAAATCAACTTCGGAAGTTTCGGAAGAACTAATAATACTAATTGCGATGCACTGCCCGCAGTCATTTGTCTCCAAATCAGAATAGAGGGTATTGTCATCGCAAACCACCATCACTTAAAAAAATACATACAAATATTTACATGCGTACGTATGTACTTATGCATGTGCGTTACAGGTGTATCCCTATCAAGTCCGATTAACAAACATATGTACATACATATTTACCTACTAATTTTTTTCTTGTACCTGTACGCTTGTATAGTGTACCTACCTGCAGAGTATGTATGTACAGTGTGTATGTAGTATGAAAATTACGTAATCGGCCTTGGTCTATATAATGTCACGTCCGCTACAACATTCAGGTGTAATTTCAATTTTTACGATCCATCTGACTAGGTAGATTACTAATTTCTTATGTTTATCGGAAAAACCAAATTAGAATACAATTTTCCCGTCAGGAAGTGGTGAAACAGATTGTTGTGATACTTCTTCAAATTAGATTTGGTGAAGTTGGTCAAAATTAAGAGTGGTAACGAAACAGACGCTAAATATTAAAAATTGAATTAAGAACGACGACAAAATTTTGCTAAGAGAAGGTAGCGCCAAGAAATTTTATTTTTTTTTTAATCGACTTTTTAATTAAGGTGTAGTACAGTAGAATCCGCTTATAATGACATCGAAGAGAGAGGAAAATAAACAACTTTCTATTTTGGTTAGTTATTTAGTTTAATAGAGAGAAAAACTACAAATTGTATATATTTATTAACAGAAAAAGAAAAAGGACGATGAATTGTAATATCAATATACATAAGAAGGGTCAGAAAAATGAGCGAAAATGTTATTATTAATCATTTGGTTCACTACAGCCGGATATGACTTTTTGAGGATCAGTCATAATAAACGATATGTCATTTTAAACGGAGTCATTGTATCCAAACTTTCCTATAGAGAATTTAATATGACAACCAAACTTAACACTACAATTACTTCATATTAAGCGGTTGGTCAATACAGGCGGAGTCATAATAAACGAATTCCACTGTACCTTGAGGAATTACCCTTTAAATGTCCTTTCGAGTATACGTATAGTTGCCTTAGGTTTAATAAACATTTTGTATTAAAACAACAAAAACGCTTTTTAATCATCAAAATATCTTTTCCTAATACTTTTTAATTTGCCCCATCAAAGTACAAAACGCTTTTTCTATTTAATCCTAATTCCAACTTAATACTTATTATCTAGAAAAAAAATACTGTTCCCGAGGAATAAAAAAATTAGTTTTATGCGGTCGTCGATGATGTTTGACGCGTATTTAAGGCACACTCGAGCAAAGCCGCGAATAAAACCTACTGATATATAATTAGTAAGACATGGTATCAAAATTAATAAGCAAATCAGTGCAAAAGGTGCGTAATTTGTTTTTTTTTATTAATGTTATGCAGATCTCTCGTGTAGGTTTGATAGTTAGGATGATGATAAGATGTTACAGCTTTAGGTAAATGCGAAGATTAGGTCAGGATAGGAAGGTGTTCAGCCATAAAACCCTTATCGAAAATATGGCATTACAGATTTTGTTTCCGTTCCCTAAAATTATTAAAATTTGAAAAACGAATTTTGAATAATATGCAAGTTATACCTGTAATTTCCAAATGTAGACAATGTATCACCATCTGGTGGATTTTCACTATCTAATTGTAATGTAGTATTTGCAAAAGGGTGGGTAAAGAAAACCCTTACTGAAAATACGACTTTACACATTTTGTCCCATTCTCTACAGCAAAATTATCAAAGTCTGACAAACGAATTTTAAATAATATACAAGTGGAGGTTCAAGTCCAGCCAGTCTTAGGACTGGTGACATTATGATGATTTTCAGATTGTCTTTATTGTATGAACAAGTATGTAAGTAAAATAACACTGACTACGTAAGGGAAATGGGTTTATAAAGTATTGCAAAACATTATTTTGTACTCTTTATGATAACCATAAGCATATGCAAGTGGTTGACAGCTTTCTAACAAATCAATTTGCGTAAGACGACAACACAAGGCTATTGTTCGACGTATAAAAGCTTGTAAATTATATAGGGACCCATTAGTATTATCGTCTTCATTTCAATTACCCAACCTTAACTGACTGTAATTAGAGGTTCTGTAACTATACATTGCGTACGTAAGTACACATTTACATCGGATGGCATGTACGAAAAGAAGCAAAAAAATTTTGATTTCCACCTTTTGTAAACGCCAAGTTTTGGAAATAACGAGTTTTTTTTTTTTGTTAGTTTGAGGTATTTTACGAAGTATCGAGCATCTTCCATTCTTTCGATAATTACCCAAAAAATACAAAATTCTGCGTTTCTTTTGTTTGAAGAAGATGGGGACAAAATACGTAAAGCCATATTTTTTATGAATAACTTAAAATCACAGCTATTATAACTTGTATATTATTTAAAATTCGTTTGTCAGACCTTGATAATTTTGCTGTAGAGAACGGGGACAAAATGTGTAAAGCCATATTTTCGATAAAGGTTTTCTTACCCTTTCTATTGAAACTAAAACTTTGCAGTTTCTAATAGTAAAAATCACAGGTGTTAATAACTTGTATATTATTCAAAATTTATTTTCAAATTTTGATAGTTTTGTTTGGAGAGGACAGGAACAAAGACTGTGAAGTCATATTTTAGATAAGGGTTTTCTTACCCTTCCTATTGAACCTGAAACTTTGCAATTTCTGATGGTAAAAATCACAAGTGCTATAACTTGCATATTATTTAAAATTTATTTGCTAAATTGTGATTAGTTTTGTTTGACGAGGACGAGGACAAAGCCTGTAAAGCCTTATTTTAGATAAGGGTTTTCTTACACTTTCTATTGAACCTAAAACTTTGCAATTTGTGATGGTAAAAATCACAGGTGTTATAACTTGTAAATTATTTAAAATGTATTTGTCATTGATAGTTTTGTTTGATGAGGACGAAGACAAAAAGTGTAGTCAGAGTTTTTGAAAGAATGTGTCTACCCTCCCTTTTGAACCTAATATTACATTACAGTCAGACAGGGAAAATCAAATGTTTTAGCGCCACGAAAAACCCACCAGATGACGATACACTGCCTTCATTTGTAAAATAAACTAAAATATACACATTAAAATACGCATCTAGCAATTTTACGAAATGGATAATAATGTTTAAACCTTAGGCTTTTTAAAATTCCAAAGTAGCAATTATTTTTTCATTATTTATAAAATGTGCGTAATCTTTCGCCTTGATCGATGAAGAAAATTCGTGACCTAAACGTGGAACATTAATGTTGTTATGATGAAAAAGTAGATAATGAACTGTTCGTTTATTTATTTACTTATTTAAACATTTTCAAAAACCTCCGACGTGCTTAATAACATTCCTTTATGCTATTAGATAATTCTGAAACTTTGCAGATATTGCTAAGACTAGTAATTTTATCCTACTTTTGCATTTTGATGGAATCAAGAATTTCATAGAAAATAGTTCAATGGAACATGTTTTGGCAAATATAATATATTAGAAAATTCACTTGGAGAAAAAATATGTATCTAAGTACCCGTGTTGTATCTACAGAATTGTTTTTAAAACCTAACAAATCCTATTAGCAAAGTCATGCATGTTTGGAAACGGTAACAAAACCCAAATAAACACACAGATTTTCTATTGGGGTTGAAATTGTGTCCAGTTCAAAGGTGTCGCAATTTCAAGGATATTTTTGAGAAACAGAGAAAAATTCGTATTTTCGCTGTCATTTTTGGCATACCTAATTATAAATTGTCTCATGCAACTTCGAAAACGTATTCCACACTAGAAAAAGTTTCGCTAATCTGTATTTGCTGTAACGCTGGATGTACATTTCTCGAGGCATTAGGAATTTAATAATAAGGCACTAATAATGCCCTAAAAAGTGAAATGCACGATAATCATTGCAATAAATAAGTAAAACTTCTCCAATTGTATTTATTGTTATTAACTAGGTATGTTGCATCAAAAATTTTCGGTAAGTTATTTTCTCTGAAGATTGCGTTTAGATTCACTCATAAGAATCAAATCTTGTGATCGATTTTCACTAATTACCCAATTGAGTTCAAAATGTAGAAATATTTTTAAACAAAATTTGTATTACATGGTATTTAGTTGGATATACCTATTAATTTTCGAGATAAAGTTGTGTTAGCGCCTTTTACTTTTAGTGGCTAAAAATGTAATAAAATACTTCCTCTAAGGACATTTACTAATTGCAAGTATATTTGATTTTTGATTTAAAACATGAAAAATTGAAACATTGTTAGCGAAAATTAAACTCTAAAAAGAAGTTATAAAAATTTGTGGTCATGCCTCTTATCATATGCTATCGCATGGCCAAAACTATAACATGTCTCAGAAGTCAACTGGTACCCTCCTAAAAAAATTAATAAATAAAAAAGCAAAAACAATTAATTTTACAACAAATCTGTTCTTTCGGTTTTATTCGGCTAATGATGACATTGTATAATCAAGCTTCGTGAACGAATGTGTTGCTATCGTTTCGTCTTCGGTTTAAAATCTCCGAAGCCGGGATTAGTTACCGTCGAGGTGTACATTGTGTGATAAGACGCGGTCGATCACGACTTTGTTAATGATAGTAAAAAATAGTATGAAGTGTTTCAATTAATGATATTTTATGTTGTTAAGTTACGAGTATCATGCCCGGAAATCATTTTACCTTTTAAGGATTACTTCTGATAGATTGTCAAAAGCTTCTCTTATATTGCTTTAAAGAATATTTAAGGATATTTATCACATTTGCATTCTGTGATACGTCATGGAAATAGGTAGGAATTTTGAATTTTACTTTTGTTTCTTTGTTAGCACGCTTTTTAATGGATTTCGTCATCCATTTTCTTTCGTTTTTCGCTATTGCCAATTTCATTCTTTTGTTTCTTATACAGTTTTGCAGGTTGTAAATTTTCATAAATAAATTCCAGAAGGACGTTTAAAAGTCGCCACATCAATTTTAAATAGATTAAAATTTAAAATAGTTGTACACTGATAAATTTATATTGTATTCGTAGTTACAAAAATGTAATTACAATTTGCATTTCATTTAAATAAGGTGTATTTTTAATTATAGTAATTTCGATTTTGAATTGGGAAGTTTCTTCGTAAAATATGAACATTTGTTTTACAGTTATTGGTATATAAAATTTTTCGTGGTTATTAAAAACAAAAAAAAAGGTTTTTACATGAGTAGTCGTTACTTGTTAAAACATGGTTTTCTCAACGTGTTTAGATTTGTTTTGAAAGAAATCAGCAAAAGAAGAATGCACTTGTTGATGGTTTAAACGAATTTTAAATTGTACCTTAAATATATGAACTACGATGAAGCAAAGTGACGTGTGACTATAATAAATTCGGGAAATTGGGTAATATTATTAACGAGTTTAGAAATTGTATTTTGAAACTTCAAGAAAACGTTTGATACATTTGCTCATTTTATAGCTCAAAACTATTGATAAATTTAAAAAATTTCCATAAATGTCTTTTAGTTTAGTCATGCATTTAATTTCATTGTTCAAAAAAAAAAACACCAAATAAAGCGAATCGATGATTTTTTCACTATTCAAAAAGTTTTTCTTTTAATTTTTACGTAATCTTCTGGAAAACAACAAAAATTCATACAGAACTGACTTCTTCCTTATTTTAATCCCTATTCAAAAGCTAGCACTACTAAATTCTACACACATTTTTACATTCAATTTACCTCTAAATGTAGCAAGAAAACTTAAGAGAAATTTAGTATGTTCGATATTTTTTGTCAATTAACAATTTTAATCTTTTTTATTTCAACTTCCTTGCTTTTTTGACAAGTCCAGAAGTTACGAAGACTTTTTTATTCTTATCTTTTTAATATTGCGTTACAGCAATGTTGCACACGCAGAAGAAATATTTTATAGTCACGAAAAGTATCATCATATCATAATTTTATATTCAAAATTCTAAACGTCTCATTTTTTGTCTGAAAAGGTTTAGATCAACGAATGTGTAATTTGAAAATAAAAGAATTCGTGTTGGGGACGATGATAGGATAAGTCTCTCGTCTTTAGATTTAAAAAAACATCGGCTTCATTGTTTTTTCAAATATCGGTAAAACTAAAGATTTTGCAAAAATTATTGTTCCTGTAGAGCCCATTTTTCGTACACTTTTCAAGCTTTTTTCACATCACCACATGTCATAATGATTGAAACCAATATAAATTTGTATTTGATGTAAACGTGACAGGTTGGCCTTTCAGATATATGATGTGTTTGGATGAAAATGTGTTTTTGCGAGGTCGAAGCAAATATTCAAAATTTCTCATCCTTATTAAGTAATTTCCAAATTTGAATGCGCAAAAGTTTGCTCCTTTTCGCTATCGTCCTTTATATATACTTTAATAAGAGTTAACGAGTGTTTTTGAACAGTTTTGCTTTATTTTAACATTTAATTTATTCACAAGCAGTAGAAATATTAGTAAAGATTGTGCTTCGTTTAGGGTAAATTTATTTTGTTTTAGTTATCAATAGAATTGTCAACGTCCTTTTGCTATCATTTGTTTGAATTAGAAAATTGCATTATCTATTTGTAATAAAATTAAAAAAATGCATGATAATTGGGAAAAACTGATAAAACTTTGGGCAAAATGCAGAAAAAGACATTTTAATTGTTGCAATTATCGTTACAAAGGTGCTTTCATATTTTGCTTATAAACAAATGGAATAACTCTATTGCTATAAGCGATAGAAATATGCCGTTTTTATACTTAGAAAGAGGACATTTTTTAATTATCGTTACTGAAAATACATCCAACTCTAATTAATCTATCACCTTGTGCCTGTATTAATGGATTGTATTGTAAAACCATGTTGGCTGATAATAATGTCCTTAAAAAAAACGGTTACTCTACTGTGTTAAATAATTGTTAACCTGCTTTTGTTTAAAATTTCACAACTGAAGTCTTATCATAATTTGTTATAATTTTATTCCTTGAAACACATTTTAAGTAACAACTTTGTTAGATATTTATCCTCATGGCAGAATATGTTCACTTTTGATTTTCGAAATTTTAAAAACATTACGTTAATAAATTCTACCGTCTTAGTCAAGCTTTTGAAAATTATGATTTCCCTCGTCTTACCTGTTATTAAGTCCTTTACTTCTAGCGACTGTAAGTCCACAATGTTGATCTAAAAGGGGTATTTTCAGCATGACCATGCGGTATCCTTGTCCTACACTATAACATTCGGAATGTTCAGAATATCCCTGAAGATATAGTTTTCCTTTAAAATTCATTTCCGGTGTAAACGTTATTGCCATCAGTTTTTCGGTACATGTAACTGTAACTATACGTACAAAAAATTGCTGTAGTTTAATGTTGTATATTAAACTTCAATAGCGCAGTATATTTTACATTTTATGTACCTTTATAATTTTTTTTAATTAAATATTTCTCTTATTTCTCGATAAAGCAGACAATCTGTGGTTTGTAATTTTTTTTAATACACATTCATTTTCCTTCTACGGATTTAGAATAATTTTTAATAATTTATCTTAAAAATTATCAATTTTTTAAATTGTATTACAATTTGTTGTCAATGCTTATCTCCAAGAACTCGAACGTTTTCATGCAAAAAATTCAAGAAAAGAAGAACATGTGAATTGTAGGACCAATCGTTCCGCAATCTTTTTAATGAACATAGAATTTAATTTAATTGATCTGCGACATGCGCAATAGTTGTAGATTTACTTCAATTCAAAAACTCACCGTTTAAACATGTAGCCCTCTCAAAATAACTTCCTCCATCCATATATTTTAAACTACTTGGTCCATATATTTTACTATCTTCGCTATGTATAAAACAAGTGAATCTATTAATCTGGTCTGTTTTCTTATTATTAAGCGTTAAAAGACTGTAGCCTCTGCAGGTAAAGCGTCTTTCATTGTCGCATAATTTTTGGCATTCATCTTTGGTTTGGCTTAAAAATTTTATATCTGCATGCCTGTTAATAGAATTTTCATATTCTTCGTACGAACAAAAATTTTTACCATTATCTAACGAGAACCAAATTAAGAATTATAATTAACAAAAGAAATATTTTGATTTGTTTGTGAATAATGATACATTTGAATTTTAAAAATAGTACATTATTCGAACTACTTATTCCTTTTTACTTTAGTAAAATTTATATTTTGTGTTCTTAAGCAGTAAAGAGTCCTTC